AAAGGAATGGTGACATATCGCCCTGTATCGTTTGTTTTAAAGAGGAAATGCAGCCATACATAGCTCTGCTACATAATTTGTGATATCCAGAAATGTATATAGGGCTACGTATTCAGAATGAGCCTAGTTTGTCTTTTTCTGTTGAGCACAAAATACTATACTGAAGAATGTTGCTCAAAAAATCATTCCATAGTCCCACAGTATTTTTAGTTCCTACTATGAATGTCAGTGACCAAGATTCTTCAAAATATAGTTTTGTACTGAAGAAAGAAATTCTTCAAAGTTTAGTGCCTCTTGAGCGTGATTAAATTGAGATGAAATGTTCAGTTTTGAGTCCTCTTCAACAATCTTTTTAAGTTAACTTTTTTCATAACCACCTACCAACCTCTAAGAATAATCTACCAGATCGATACTCTGACCACGTCACTAACTATAAAGCAAAACCCTGGTGACCAACCTTTTAATTTTAGCTCTCGCAATTTTAAATGAAACACATTTAATTCCTCTCGATCGTCTATCTGTGTTCAGCTTCTTTCCACCACTTCTCTAATCCATTCTCAGTGAATTCCTCCTATTCTTGCATTTTCGCTGGTGTTAAATCCCATGACAAAGAGGGATGAAACACTCCTAATAACAGTAATTCATGGACACTTTAAACACATTCGAAGGCTGTTTTTAATGAACATTGATGTGTCTCTGCAGCACTTCTAATAAGTGCTTTTCACAGGCACAGAGCTAAATCAGATCCTGACAACACTGCATCACACCGCAACAAATGTACCGTTCATGCTCTTTTGCATGTGACTGCTTGATGCCATGCAGACATAATGAGTACAGATTAGTGCCTCGTTTTGAGAAGGTGGGACATTGTTGCGTCATAAGAGAGGTGGTAGCTCTCTGAAAGCGTGAGTCTGAACTAGCATGTTTAGATGAGCAGACAGAGTGTTTAATCCACGAATAAACTTCTCATTATTCAAGAAACTTAAGCTATGACCTAGTTGGCAAAGCAATTTCATCCCCAGTGTGTTGCCAGACATCGGCGCAGAATGAAAACAAATTCTGTGTTTGTTTTTCAGCCTCGGCTGAAAGTCGTCGCACGTTCAGGCATAGCGCGAATGGAGCTGCTATTATGCGTTTGGATATGCCACAATGGGACCTGCTGAGGTTAACTCAATTGACTCCGCCCAAAAGCCTTGAACTCCTCCAGCCAATCACGTGTCACTGTCTGTTTGTTAAAGCCAGACCAATGTCTGTCTGATTAGCAGAATGCATGAAGGACAGACTGGTTCTCCATTCAGCATCTTGGCAGAAACCTCTGCCCCCATCATAGGTCCACTTCCTATTTCATGAGCCATTCCCGAATTTAAGGTTGACCGTTTTTTTCAATCAGGAGGCTCGATGAATTACCTTTTCAGCCCTTCGAGTGCCCTGGCGAGTTTGAGCCGAGGAGGCCCCACTGGTATAATGACGCTTGGCACAATCACTCTTCTGTTCCTCCAACCCTGTTCCCAGGAAACCACACAGCATGCACAATTGCGTACCGCGCTTTGCTGCCCAACCACATGGCTGTGCAGCAAGCCGAGTAACGTGGCATCTCATTGGATGAACCAGAGTTTATCTTCCCACACCGATTCGTTTTTTTAACTACTATATTATTTCACGTTTGCAGGGCGTAGAAAAGGAGCTTGACGAAGGGAGAACTTGAGGTTATGCCAGCCTAGAGTTTCGAGCATGAAGAGAGCATGACTGTTATGTTAAGCTTCTCCTAATTAAAAGCAAAGGAATGGGGAAAAAAAGCGAGATGAATGGACAAAGAGGGACAGAACTGGTTCTGAGCTGGTCATAGCTGGTTCTGCTGGCTTTCATGGCCTTCCTCAATGGACCCGCTGGTTTGGAGTGTAGGTTCCCTCCCCTCCTTTCCCCCCATCTACTTCTGTTTATGCTTTGTAGCTATCGGATACTTGGGTTCTGTCCTTTCAGACCAGGATTGAGAATACCAGGGGGCCTGGAGACACATGTCAGCTTGTGCTTTCAGGACTTAGCACTCCAACAGGTCCATCATAAGTAGCCACAGGGTGTCAGGCACCAAAGCAGGCAGGAAGAGACCACAAAAACAGCTATACAGACATCAGGAGCCATATAGAGAAAGGAGAGAAGCGAGAACAACAGCTTTCAGTAGAGTCAGAAAAGTGATGACTTATTCAGCTGGACGCTGGCGGTGTGAAAGGTTACCACTTGTTTTGCAGAGTTCATTTAATGGTGGCGGAGGTTTTGGTGGAGCTATTTTGTCATGCAAGAAGGGAGGAAAACATGAGAGTAATACAGAGAGACATAGAGGAAGTTCTTAGTCTGCAAGGCCTATTAAAGCCTGTTGTTTTAGAAAGTTCAGGTTTTGTCAGGCTGTCATTCAGATTTGGTTCTGACACACTTTGCTTGCAACACATGACACCCTTGTTGTGCTACTCTAACAAATGTCAGTACTCAAGGGATGATAGTTGCTTTTGAATGCTTGTATCCTCTAGCCCAAAATTGACTTAATTGTGTATGCTAGTCAATGGATAGTCTTTCAAAGTGTACTTCAAATCTTTATCCAGTGTTTGGCTGATCTCCTTTGCATTAATGCATGCTATAGCACTTCAGGTGGCAATTTTGATAATACTTTTGTTTAAACTAATTTTTTAATCAAACCATGATATCAAAATGGACAATTATTCATTCATTCATTTTCCTTTGGCTTAGTCTCTATTTCAGAGGTCGCCACAGCAGAATGAACTGCCAACTTTACCAGCATATGTTTTACGCAGTGGATACCCTTCCATCTGCAACTCAGTGCAATCCATTCACACTCATTCACACTACGGCCAATTTAGTTTATTCAATTCACCTATAGCGCATGACTTTGGACTGTGGGGGAAACCGGAGCACATGGAGGAAACTCACACAAACACGGGGAGAACATGCAAACTCCACTCAGAAATGCCTACTGGATCACCCGTGACTCAAACCAGTGACCTTCTTGCTGTGAGGCGATAGTGCTAACCATTGAGCCACCGTGCCACCAAAATGGAAAAATATTTATTTTATAATAAGCATTTAATTAATAAAAACATGGTTATTTTATTTATTTGCATGTGATTGAATTAACAGAATTCTCATTGTGAGTGAAATATGGTCGGTAAGTTTGTTATAACAACTCCAATAGAAAACATTGGTGGAGATAAAACAATAAGATTGACATTGAATTCATTCAAAACATGATTATATTTTCTTACCAGCTAAGACATGCAGTATACTCGAAAAGCACATTGCATGTCTTAGTTGGTAAGAAAATACAATCACATGTATGTTTCATGACAATTTCTGACATTTTGGAACTCAACAAAGTAAAAATCTTGTAAGGAAAAAAAAGCTTGTGTAGCTTGTGTTCCTAACATTCAGTGTGTTTCAGTCTTTAGTGAGGCATCTATCCTTTTTCAGGGTCTTTTTGCATAAAAATTACCTTCTCCATTTAAGATTAACCCACCAAATCTTTGAAGGTCCTGTGAAGTGCTTTGAAATGTGCATTTTTTTATTCAGTGTTTGACGTAATCTCAACTGAAAAACAAAGAGGAGGTGGGACATAAAGTAGCTCCCCCCCCTTTTAAAAATAGCCAATAGTGTTTTGTTGTATCACAGCTCTGTCAATAGCCCCTTTCACACATACAGACTTTTCCGGTAAATTTGTTCCAGCAATTTTCCAAAGAGAGTTGTAACACTACCAGTAATTTGCCGGAATGTTGCTCTATGTGGACGCCTAAGTAACATTGCCGGAAAGAGCGCATTTACATTTAGAAAATAAATATTGAATATTTTTCCAGACATATTTAGCTGCTAGATGTTAGTCAGATAGAATTGGGTAGGCTAAATTGTTCGAAGTGAGTGTGTGACAGTTGAGTGTGTGTGTGTATGTTTTCCAGAGATGGGTTGCGGCAGGAAGGGCATCACCTGCGTAAAAACGTTGGCGGTTCATTCTGCTGTGGTGACCCCGGATTAATAAAGAAACTAAGCCGACAAGAAAATGAATTAATGAATGTTAGTCAGATAACGTTTCTATGTTCCTTTTTAACTGTAAAACATGATCGATAAAATGCTTATAATAACCCATTGTTTGTTTACCTTCAAGCTCTGCTTCAGTTGCTTGAAGCGTGTGCATGTGAAGTAGTGCTTCAGTGAGAGCCATCACACACATTTTATGAACATCTCGACTTGCGAAAGTGTTCCTCCATATGTTTTCATCAAAGTTGTTCATAATACTTATCCATCCACAGAATTTGTAATGTAGTCAAATGTGTAAATATTTAGCTGCGGTTCATGCTTCTGTATTTTGGATGTCTCTGCGACAAAGAAGCTGCATGAATGTTAAAAGTGAACCCATTAACAAAAGCCTGACCTCTATTATGTTTACAAATACAAGCATAGCTGTTTAGAGGCCATTTCCGGTCAATTATGGCAGAATTTACCAGTATTTGGGGATGGATTTTCTGGTACAAAAAAAAATGAAGAATGTTCTGCCTGTGTGAACCGCGCTTTTTTGAAATTACAGGTAAAGTCGTTCTGGAAATTTTCTGAATATTTACCGGAATCTCTGTGTGAAGGGGCTAAAGAGAGTGGATGAGCTCAAGTGCATCGAATAAAAAGCAAATAAGAATTGAAGGGAAGGAGCTTGTCAGACACTAGAGAGCATTTCATTGGTCAAGATTTGATGAGAAACCGAAGTATGAGGTGACGTGAATAAAAACTGTTGATCCATTTAGGGTAAAATGAGAAACGACAAACTTTACATGTTTACAGTATCGGTTTTATCTTCTAAATGGGAATTTTGTCATTGTTTTGTACCACACTAGCTTATAGATATCCTTGAAGACTAACATATTGATACTAACGTGTAAAAAATTTTTTATTTCTATTTACCTTTAAACAAGCTGTGATTTAAAACTGTCTTTTGCATCTTCCTCTTGTAGGGAAACAAGGGACCAACAAAGTTTTTCCAGAAATTCCTGCCTCGCACAAGCACACTTGAAGATTCCGAATAATTGCTCTGAAATCATGGAACCTGCCGAGTTAAACACTATCCCCAACGGGAAGGGGCATGAAGCTGGCGAGGAGACGACTGCGACTGCAATAAAAAGCCAATCAGAAGATGCAGCTCAGTAAGTATGCGCTCAAGGGTGCACTATCTTGTCTGCTTAGTTAAGACTGGTTTATTGGCAGACATCCAATGTGTTTAGTTTAAGTAACATTTTAGAGTTTCAGTTGGTGGTTTAAGTTTTAGTATTTGGTCATTAAATGAGTTGTAGAGGGGATTTAAGCTTTTGTTAGTGCATATAAACCGTGTGTATGAACATTAGTGTGTGTTTTTGCAGTATCCTCCAGCTAAAATTAAAGCATCCAGTCATGTCATCTAATAAGGTGAAGCTTGTCTGTCATCACAGTTGTAAATGTCACTGAGCAGCACAGTTTTCAGATATCACTGGGCACATTCTGTAGCACGGATGTTATGCTTTTACTATACAACTGTTTTTAAAACTAATGTGTCTGTGATTGTGTGAAGGTTTTAGTGCAGATTAACATGGTGTTTCTTCAGCTACAGTACAAGAACAGTTATTTGACAACTATATTTTTATAACCTAACATTTTTTATTTTTGGCTGTTGGAATAAAAGTTAAATATGTTTTACCAATTTTTTTTACAGTACCAGGCATTCAGTCTTAAAATATGTAAATCACTAACAACACAATGGGCATAGCTTGTGATGCATTAAAACATAATCATCCAAATGGTATGCAGTATATTCAGCCAAAGATTAACTTTCAGTTTTGACAGTATCAATTTGTCATTTTTAATGGCTCTTGGTTTATTTATAACCTAATTTCGAGAGGATCACATGCTTATGATTGATCAAGGCTGGTCCTGCATCAGCTCAGCATATTGCGCCAATCAGATGAATACTGACTCTCTATAAATAACCAGAGTTTTCCACTTTAATCATCTTCGTCTTGAAGAATCCCCACTTCCACCCCTACTCCCCCCTCTTCTGCTGATACGGCGGCATGCCAGCCTAGTGGTTAGCACTGTTGCCTCACAGCATGAACGCCACTGGTTCGAGCCCTCACCAGGACAGTTGGTGTTTTTGTGCGGAGTTTGCATGCTCGCATGGGTTTTCTCCGGGTTCCCCGATATCCTCCCACCGTACAAAGACGTACATCATAAGTAAATTGACTAATCCAAAGTGGCATCTTAAGACGATCTCTTAGCCAGCTATATCTCAGCTATTCCTAACACATTCACAAGCCGGGAAGTTCTCCAGACCTACCTGAGCTCAAACTCCCCACTCGCCCTTCAAATGGGGGGGAGCCCCAGGCTCGAGAATATTCTGAGCTCAGGGCTCTCTCCCGGGACAGCATGCACAACATGCTTTATTATCAATCATCAGCTAAGTGTGAACTCTTGAAAACGTTAAAACCATTTCAGTGAATTATGCAAAAATTAAAATATTGAAATGTTTATATATTTGCCTTTAATTAAATGATCTATTAACTACAACTGTTGCTGCTAATCAAGTTAATGTAATCATTTAAAAAATCTAGTGAGAATGCAACTATTTTTTCTGCATAATGCCAAAAATTCATAGTTGAAGAAACATCTTTAATATGAAAAATAAAACTACCCTGCATGTAGAAGAATCCCCGCGTTTACCCTGAGAAACTGAATTGCTCAACCGAGGCTCATTGAAAATACATTCTTCAGCCTATTTTTTCTTTTGAAACAGCTAAAAGATACTTTGACATACGTTTGACTGCAGTTTCTGTTTAAAATGAATGCTACAAGGCAGTATGTCACCAACAACTTTTGTTTCTTTTCACAGACACATATTATTGAAGGATCATTTCATGCAGTTCTTTGAACAAGACCATATGAAAAGTATAAAACACCTTAACTATGTCCATATTATGTAAATGAAAATGTTCGACACACCTATGTATTTGAATAGATCTTTTCTTGCGTGGTCAGTTTGCTCTGTAGCTAACTTTGTTGTACTTTGTTGTACATGTGATGGAGAACAATCTATTCGAGTCTGGTGAAACACAGTTCCACAAAATAAAAAATAGCAAAGCAAAATCAGGGTAAAACTATGTGGTTGAAGTGTAGTTTTCTAAGTGATCTATATGACAAGTGCTGAAGCATCTAAAGCATACAACAAAACACACCCTCAAAATCAAAAAAGAACTAAAAATTTTTCATTTCAAACAAAATAAGGCCAAAGCGAAGTGCTTTTTGAGTTCCTTTTGGCAGTTTGAAACCGCTCACCAAAGCAAACTTTTAGGGGGGTTGCATTTTGACTCCCAAAAACCTCTGAGCTACCATTGGTCCATTGGATTTACACAATCGGTGGGTGTGTTCTGGAACTCCGCCTACTTTGGTGTGCGTTTACTTCCACCCATGATTTGTTTCTTGTTGCATGAAGGTCAGATGGAGAGGAAGAGCAACAACATCAACACACTGGTGAGTCAAGTACCAGAGCTGGTTTTTACAGAGCAGATCAGATGTTTATGGAACTTTTCTTCTTCCAAAGCCACCATCGTTGTTGTGCAACATTGCACACGAGCAAAGTGACGCATGGACAACTCCGCTTCCTGCAGCGCGGGAGTGTCTGAATGCTCGAAAACAGTATATCTTCATCAACCTTTTAGAATTAATTTTTTGCAATCAAACAAATATACAGAGGCCTTAAGTAACTTATTTCAGATTCGTATAAATGTACAAAGATCCCTCTAGTGGATTTGGAATTGTAAACATGCAGCCATTTATTTTTTGTTTGGTAAAAATGTAGGCTGAGGCATGTATTTTCAATAAGCCTGGGCTGGAAATGTTCCTGTTAGAGTGTGTCTACATTCCATAGTGTGTTTATGTAAGGGTGTGCTCATTGTGATTTCCCTGTCTCTTACGCTTTCGTGGATGCTGCTCCTACACTGCTCTGTAGGGAACTTGTACCAAATAGCACTGAAAATGCCAGGTACGTCATGCAGAGAGAGGAATCATTAGCAGACAAAAGGGTTTTATTTTGCCACAACACATCCTGCATCTATTTTTAAAGTGCCCACCCTGAGTATATGTTTTGCAGTCCTTGAAGTGCTAGTTAATTAAAAAATGAACAATTGATTTTAATGTAGGTGATTGTTTCCATTGATGTTGCAATCCCGTATCCATAGTCAATCTAATTGTTTTTATCTGTGTCTTTTAGTACTGACAGAACTGCAGGTAATGTTGAAGCAAACCTGGTGGAAAGCTCAGAATTCCTTTCCAACGCAGATGACAAGAAAACCCCTCGTTTCACAGATGTAAGTTGAACTTAAATTGCATGTAGTGATTTTTTTACAGCCAGTTCACGAGATATGTTCTAAAATTTTTAATGTAACATTCCTATTGAAGGGATAGTTTACCCAAAAAATTAATTATGTTATTATGTACTCAACCTCCACTTGTTCCAATCCAGTTTGAGTTTCTTTTGTTGTTTATTGTTCGATTATAAAATTTCTGCAATTAGAAAAAAAATGACATTTTGAACATTCTAAGAACATTCAGCTGTATCAAATCTGAACACAACACAAAGACATTTTAAAGAATGTTGAAAAGTGTTGTGATTGCCAGTGGTGTTGTCTCTGCTGGGGATTACTTCCTGTAGTCTCTTGTAATCGCCATTGGTGTTTTCTCCATTGGACATTAAATTTCACCAAACCACAACTCCCAGAACTCTTTGTGTCCATCAACTTCTGCAACAGCTGACAATAATCTGGACATTCAAACACAGACACAGCTGCTGCTCATTTACATTGATTACAAGGACTATTTATACACGCCACTTTCACCCACACTCGGCTGAGTCTTGATTCATTGTGAACATTACGAAGCATTTTCCTTGTTTGATTTTCCCGTTTTTGATTCTTGCCTTGTTCCTTGTTTTGATCCAATGACGCCTAGTCTGACCTCTCACCTGTATTTTGACCACAATTATTGGATTACCCTTGTGATATTGTTTTGCTACTGTTTCTGACTATTGCCTGTACGACCTTGTCTTTAATAAACTGCATTTAGATCCACTTCACAACAGAATGAGGTAGCCATTGACTTTCATAGTGTATTTATTCCCACTATCAATATCAATTGCTACCTTTTTCCAGCATACATCAAAATATCTTCTTTTGTGTCCAGAAACATTATTTCCGAATGCTCTCTGAATGTTTATATTTATATATAAACGTTTTATATATAAGACACTTAATAATTTTACACATTGTGTTAGGAAAGTACTAAAAGACATTCAATTAGTTGGTGAATTTCCAAATAAAATAATTTTTAAAAGATTTTTTTTACATAAACAATGTATAGTTTTTTATTTCCAATTTATTTAAGACCAGAAAATTCTGAATTACTATTCTATTAAAGTGACTGGAAGCATGTTATGAATTGTTTCAGGTATGAATGACTACACTAACAATCCTTTTTTTCTGCTTATTTAGTTTGAGGGAAAGACTTCTTTTGGGATGTCCGTCTTCAACTTGGGGAATGCCATCATGGGAAGTGGAATTCTGGGATTAGCGTATGCCATGGCCAACACGGGCATTGTCCTCTTTGTGTAAGTTACACTTTTAAGTAAAACTCCACATGTTGTATTTGTGCTGGAATTGGATATCAGATAATGCAGACCACCTAGAATTAATAAAACCATTGTGCAATTATTACCATCATAAACCACTTTGCAGGAAAACATTAGTATCATAAATTCTCCTGTATTATTCTTACACTACCTGACAAAAGTCTTGTCGTCTATTCAAGTTTTAGGAACAACAAACAATAACTTGACTTCTGGTTGATCATTTGGTATTAGAAGTGGCCTATATGAAGGCAAAGACCTCTAGACTAGAAATAAATAACTTATTAATAAAGTCATCTGAAAAGGCAAAGAAAGCGTTCTTGCAGGACTCCCAGAGTTCATCTAGATTCTTTGTATTCATCTTCAATACTTCCTCCTTCATCTTACTCCAGACATGCTCAATAATGTTCATGTCTGGTGACTGGTCTGGCCAGTCCTGGAGCACCTTGACCTTCTGCCACTTTTCCAAATGATCAACTAAAAGTCAAGTTATTATTTGTTGGTCTTACAACTGGGATCGATGACAAGACTTTTATCAGGTAGAGTAGTTTTTTATCACTACAAGTCATTGTAGTTCCTGTTGACAGTATTGTAAGGAGTTTATCATGGTGTGCATTTATATTCCTATGGAAATCCCATTATGCTATTAAACCAGTATACTATATATATATATATATATATATATATATATATATATATATATATATATATATATATATATATATATATATATATTACTGTAAATTTAATGAATGCATATTGAGGCAATTTTACCATACACACCCTTTAATAATACCCTAATAAATAAATAAATAAATAAATGACATTAAAGTGTATTCAATTAAAACAGCTTTCAATTAAATTAAATTTAATTAAAACAACATTAAAACAGCTATTTTAACTGATATATTTTACAATATTACTTTTATTGGTCTTTTAATAAAAATAAATAAGCCTTAGTGACCAGAGACTTATTTTGAAAACTTTTTAAAAAATCGTACAGAACCCATAAACCATAATGTAACTAAATGGTATTATTTATAGCAGTGTTTCTCAACCATGTTCCAAAAGGATCACCAGGTCTGCACATTTTCCATGTCTCCTTAACCAAACACATGATTCAGATCATCAGCTCATTAGCAGAGACTGAAAGAACTGTAATGGGTGTAACAGACAAAGGAGACATCCAAACTATGCAGTGTTGGTGGTCCTTCAGATTGAGAAACACTGATTTATTGAGGTCATTGGATTTCAAATGTTATTTATGACCTATATCTATAGTCTGTATGATTGATTTAGACGTATATGAGATGTTGGAAAGTAGATATGTAAAGCTAGCTTCTGAATTAGCTAACTTGCACATTCACAAACAATAATTGATGCATTCAAAAATCATTAGCTGATCTCTTTGGCGTTTCATAGTTGTTGTCAATGACACATTTTCGCTAAAGTTTGTTGCTTATTATGATCTGGGTTAAGTCCCAACCTTCAGGATAGCCCCCACTCCCCCTCCCTTCTGCGATATTAATCCTCCAGTAAAGCAGTCTTTATTAGAAAAGTCAGATTGCCAGAGAGATTTGTTTCAGTAGAGCTGAGCGGGCCGTACCAGGACAGGAGCTCTGTGTTCACGCTATAGGCACACTTTATGACTTTTGTTAGCAAATAATCTGCCATCTAGCTATGATCTTATAGTCTGTGCTACTTAACATAGGCTGTGATGGCGAAGATTAGGTTGTACATGCTTTATGTAAACCAGTCTGCCCTTTTAATCTGGCTTGAGCAATGAGGATTTTTAATTTTCCTTTCTGAAAGGGCTTTGGGTTTGAGCTGTTTGGTGTGACTCGATTTTTGGCACACTTGAACTTTCTGTACTCCCCATTTCTTCGTGTGTAGTACCTGTCTGATTTGAGAACAGTGTTTTTCTGGTGCTGATTGTGGCTTCAGGCTACTCATAAATCAATCCTGGACACGGTTTAATAATGAAGCTAATATTCTTTGCAGTAATAGTGCCGCTCTTGGGAATGAATTCATAAGATTTGTAGGAGCTATACCATTGGGACTGTTATGGTGATATCTTTGTTGAGACTCACATTTGTTGAAAAAAGACAGCAAAAAATGGTTAACAGTAAGTTCCCCGAAAGTATACTACCATAAATATTAGATGTTGTTGCTCTTTTGTTGGTTTAACTGCTTATTATTGTTCTCATTTTTCTTTTTTAAAAACGCCTACTAAGTTATTAAACATAATTCAAGTTTTTAATAATCCTTAACATGACTTAACATGTAATTTTATTGCAAAAAAGTTTAATTTTGTTATTTAATTTTACAATATTACACTGGGATCGTTTATATACAGTGGCTGACACTTCAAAATACCACATCTGTCACTTGTGGCACTGCGGAAGGACATTTAGGTTTAACAGTAATTTAACTGCAAATGTCATTAACAAAACATTAATTTGTGAAATCTGGATACCTCATGTAATTTTACAATAAAATAATTTTCAATAAATACAACAAACAACAATACATGTACAATTTTATAGTTTTGAGGGAGAAAAAGAACACATTATAAAATCATATTACATTTGGTGTTTTTCATAGAAAGTTTTTATGTTTTTTTATCCATAAAGGTTACGCAGCATTTCTCATTGTATTTTTTAATTATTCAGCAATCTGCTGCACCTTTAGCATTAAAAAATTATATTGAACAATTATAATCTTAATCATAAATTTATATTATTTCTATAACACTGTTAAATAAAAATGTTCTGTTAAATAGGTAGAATTAAAAATTTGATTTATTTGTATAAAAAGACTATACATACAGAACAGAATAAGAACAAGGAATTACTGACTGTCTATATATGTATATGTATAAAAATAATATATAATATACAATATTTGACCGAGGGGAATTAGCTCAAACTGTAGAGCGCTCGCTTTTACTTAACAATTTTTTTATCATGTTTTTATTATGTTCTTTTATATTCGCTATTGCTTTTCAACTTGTTTGGTCAATGATTGTTTTTAGTAATGTTTAATTTGTTTAGCATGTCTGCTGATGCTTATTGTAAGGCGACCTTGGGTGTCTAGAAAGGCGCCATTTATAAATAAAATGAATTATTATTATTATTATTAGCATGCGAGAGGTAGCGGGATTGATGCCCGCATATAAAGGGACTAAGCCGAATGAAAATCAATAATTGATTAAAAATAAAGGAGTAAAAACCAACTTACTCTTTTTATTTATTTATTTATTTATTTATCAATTTTGCTCTATTTTTTATCTATTCCTGATGTAATTGCATTTTAATTTTATTTGTTTGCTAATTCATTACGGTGGCAAGGTTTTAAAAAAGGGGGGGGAAACATTATAACCTGGATTGTACAAAATGTTTTGTTAAAGCTTGAGAAAATAATCACATTTATTACATCATATATCATTAGAAAAAAAAAATATTTTTAAACATTTTTTTTCTAATGATATATGATGTAATAAATTTCTATTTAAAAATAAATAAATGATTAAATCTCTTAAAGCACTCAAGTGCTTAAAGCACTTTCTAATAGTTAATTGTGCATTAGAGCTGGTATATCAGCAGAACCAAGTAGGCCTAGTCTAAAACTTGATTCTGGGTCTTGTAAATTTGAAAGAAGTTTTAAATGCAGTAAGTACATTATTTTATGTTGCACTGCAATAAAGAAATTACTGTACTTTTTTCCAATTAGGTTTAATACAAATCTAATGAAATCTTATGCAAATATGAAAAAGAGATGCCCATTCCAAGCAGAAACGGCATCTGCTGCATTCACTGTAAACTGAGCTGTTACGATCAGTGGAAAACACCTGATCACGAGCTGGACGCATGAACAATGCAGATTAAGGGTATTACATTTCTTTTGTCTTTCGGATATTTCAAATTAATTCATGATACTCAGCTAAAAGCAATGGTTCAGATCACAATTTGAAATCGCAAGTGTAATCTTTTATGCTATAGTGAGAAGTTGAAATCTATTTTCAGTATATTTTAAAACTATATTTGAAAGAATGGACAACATTTTAATATACATTAGGGTTTTATTTCATTTTGTTTAATGAATGTCTAGTGCATTTAGTTTGATTGTGTTTTGTATTTGTGTGCATGCCACTGTGCACCTTCTATGTTTTAGTATTCATTTTGTAACTGTAATTTAAATGTCAAATATTTACAGTAACTTTAAAGCAACGGGATCTGCAGTTTTGTATTATTTATTTCACCTTTTTGACAGTGAGATTTCTTTGTTTGTGGCTTAAATGATGAGCATTTTGTGTATGCTATTATACATTATTCAAGGCAACATCTGTGATGATGAATGTTGTATATGGTGTATGATGAAGGTAGAGGACAGATGTTGGGTTTTGCCTTTGTGAGAGCTGAGATTTGTCTTTGGGCTTGAATTTATTGTGTCACTTCATATCATGACAATAGTCCCCTAAAGGTAAGAGTGGATCCACAACTCTCAGAAAAACACAGCATTACACAACTTTGAATATCCAGCATAACAAAACAGCATGCAGATTTCCTTTTTGACAAGCGTGAGTTTAAAAGGAGAGTTGGATTTTTTTTGTCCTATTATTACACATTTGTCTCTTGTGGTGTATCAGAGTTGAGAAGTCGGAAATTTCAGTATAAATAAATGTCTTGTGCAGTATCTCCAAAGCACTTTGCATTTTAGAATTAATTCAAGTCAATATAAGCGTATAACTATTAGTAAAAGACATCTGGAACATTGTTACCTAAATGAAAAATAGCTGAAGACTTCATTAAATCTCAGCAGCTGTTTGTGTGAGATTACAACAAGCAACAAATCCTCAACTTTTGCCTTGAAATTTGGCTTCCTGTGGCTTATGAGGAAATGTTATTGCTCAAGGACAGGCATTTTACTTCATCTTCCTGGAATTACAGACATGTTTATGGGGCATGTCTTGAGACAGTGGA